TGGGGCCAAGATAGAGGGGGAGGGGAGGGAATGAGTTTTTAAGGGATTGTTCGTCAATTTCAAGTGCTCATTACAACCCAAATTTTAGGATTTAGAACCCAACAAAAATTATTTCAAAATCCGCAGAACTTATTAAAATCCACTTTTTCGAGAGAACATTAATATATATGCAGTCTTGTTCTCATGAACACATCTTAGGGAGGCTAAGTGAGCTTAGCAGTAATTCTAAATAAAAAAGGAATTTTGAGAATTTTGAAAAATATTCAAAAATGCTGAACAATCCCTTTAAATAGGAGAGGAAATGAGTAGCTTCAGGCTTTTTATACCTAGTCAAGCCAACTTAAAAATATAGGATATTTGTTGGAAGACGGAGAGGTTTACGAGGGAGTTTTTTAGAGGCGAGGAGGGATTATTTTAATGGATAACAACTAAACACAGTTTAAATAGATCAAAAGAGCAAAAAAAAAATAAGAAAAAGAATGTTCAATTTTTCTTTCATTCCTAAACAGTCTGGGGGGGGGGGGGAAGTTTATGTGTAAGATGGATCCCAGGTAGGGCTGTGACATCCGTCTTGTGTTTAAATTACCGCCCAGAGACAGTACACTGCAGTACAAAAGATGAGTACACCTCTGAAATAACTTTCCTTGCATTATAACCTAGCAATGTGAAGGAAAATGTGAAAAAGAATAAATTAAAAGTGAAAGAATCTGCACTCTGCAGTGGAAAAAGTTGGCCCCCCATTATCCAGCCAAATTATCGATTATAAGGTGGATACTGGATACTATAGATTCTTTTCACATAAAACACAGACCTCACCTCTTACAACACACACACACGAAGAAACTCACGGACATAGCAAGTTTAATCATGAAGCAAGGTTGATTGAAAAAAGTTCGAAAAACAAAAATTTCTTTTTATTATGTTTAATGGGTTAATACTTGAGAAAATTTTCTAAATTATATTTTTTTGTTAAATCTCTTATTTTCATTATATTTGTTAAACCTTATCTCAGTTTTTATTTTAAATTTTAATTAATAGTATTAACATTTCGACATACTATAATCTATTTGCCATTTTGTTCAAAAATTAAATGTGCTATGCACATAGTCCTTGACTTTTAAATGTGGTATGCATAAATGTGCTATGCTTATAATTCTTGACTTTTAAATGTGCTATGCATAAAAATCTTTGACTTTTAAATCTACTATGCATATAGTTCTTGATTTTTAAATGTGGTTTGCATATAGTTCTTGACTTTAAATGTGGTTTGCGTATAGGTCTTGAATTTTAAATCTGCTTGCATATAGTTCTTTACTTTTAAATCTGCTATGCATATAGTTCTTGACTTTTAAATGGGGTTTGCATATAGTTCTTGACTAGTAAATGTGGTTTGCATATAGTTCTTGACTTTTTAATGTGGTTTGCATATAGTTATCGACATTTAAATGTGGTCTGCATACAGTTCTTGACTTTCAAATGTGGTTTGCATATAGTTCTTGACTTTTAAATCTGCTCTGCATATAGTTCTTGACTTTTAAATGTGGTTTGCATATAGTTCTTGACTTTTAAATGTGGTTTGCAGATATTTCTTGACTTTTAAATGTGGTTTGCATATAGTTCTTGACTTTTAAATATGCTGTGCATGGTTCTTGACATCTTAGTCTATAATATGCATGACGTCCTTGACATTTTAGTGTATAATATGCATGACATCCTTGATCCCTTATATTGTATTATATGGATGACGTCCTTGACATCTTAGTGTATTATATGCATGACGTCCTTCACATCCTAGTAGTTAATATGTATGACATCCTTGACATCTTAGTATATTATATGCATGACGTCCTTGACATCTAAGCGTATAATATGCATGACGTCCTTCACATCTTATTTAATATACATGACGTCCTTGACATCTAAGCGTATAATATACATGACGTCCTTGACATCTTATTTAATATACATGACGTCCTTGACATCTTAGTGTTTAATATACATGACGTCCTTGACATCTTAGTGTATTATTTGTCTGACGTCCTTAAAATAATGTAGTATGATGGCATGCCTTGCAAAGCCAAGAAAATGCATGCCCATACAAGATAATGTATTGTTCAGATAGAATTATGCAAATTTAAATCTTACTCCTCTCCTCCCGGTCACTTTTCGGGCCTGGGTAATATTTAAGATTTAGCAAACTATACCATACAGGGTGTCAAAAAAAATCGACGGGATAGTGTAAAAAAAATCAGAAGTTGAAAAATCAAAGAAAAACTTTTTTTTATCAATTGTGAATTTTAGACCCATTTCCCATTTTTAACTCATACTTTGGGATTCTGAAGCTGAAATTTTTTAGAAATATAATTTGTTAGAATTTGCTCGTTGCAATTTTAGATAAAGAAATTTAATTTAGTTTTCGCAACATCTTTCCTAATAAAATCATATTTAGAGAATATAAAACAAGAACAGTGGGACTAAGAAAACTGTATTAGGACGACATTCCAGCAAATGTCGTCCTAATCCAGAGTTGTATAGGTCCAACTGTATCGAACAAAATTGCCTCTGATTTTTCCTTTATTGGATAAAATCCCATTTATGAGTATACATATTCTAATCCTTATCTTTGCAACCTGATGTCGTAGAACTTTGATGAATCTAACGATAAAAATTCTTCTAAATCAAAAGTTCCAAGTTAAAAAATACAGGTTGCTAAGGATTTAAAAAGCAGAGTTTGAGGATTATATTCAGTTATTTTATTAAACTAAACAATAATTTTCTTCGAAAAGTTTTATCCATCTTGTTTTAAGAAAAGTATTGTGTTTAAAACTTCTCTTTAAAAAGTTTTTGCCATTTTTTTATCAAACAATCTTTGTCTATAAATTAACATCCTGAAAAAATTCTGATAAGAGAAGGTTTGGTTTTAAACATTTTTGCGAACTTTTATCTAAGCATTGCCGTTTAAACGTTAAGCTAAAGTTCTTTGGTAACGTTATGTCTTGAAAACAATGTTTGTATAACTGCTTTTGGCTTAACTGTTTTAATAAAAACAATGTTCGATACATTATAAATTATGGAAATGGGTAGAAAGAGAAAGTTATGGGAAAAGTCGGGAAAAAGCATTATTTGTTACAATTTATTCCGAGTAATTTAACTTTACATTAGAAATAAATAACATGAGAAAATCCTGGTGTATATAAAAGTATGCAACCCGGTGTTAAGCGATTCAAAATATTTGAAATAATCATAACAAAAGTTTAAGATAATGCTAAAAAATTACAAAGTGACCTTTGTATGTTTATTCGAATTTCAGAATCAAAATAGTTGAAATTCTTGTTACAAAAGTTAGAAAATCTCCCTTATTACAATTCAATCAACCCATGCAATATTAAATGGATTTTTATTAAAATTTATTGAGCAAAATAAAATATTTTCTTGTTCCTTCTCAAAATTGGTGTCTTAATGATGATTAGATTTTAATGTTAATTTCGCTTTTTGTTTCTTTGTAAATGTTTGAAAATATGTGTTTAATACCATTTCTGTATAATTAAGTATGATCCTTCAAGAAATTACAGTTCAAACATTAAACACAACAAGAATATAAAAACTATTTTGAAACTCAGGGACTGTACGCCAAATTACAAAGGTAGCTTTCAACTTTTATGAAAATATTATATCTTCCAATTGATTATGACAATATCTTCCTTAATGTTCTTGGATAGGATGGTACCGTTGTGAATGAAAAATTTCATGAATAAAAGTATTGTCACTTAAAATTTAGTCTACAGCCCCTCAAAGTTGAAGCTTACCATCAAATAAGGTTTTATCTAAAGATAAAAACATAAAACAAGAAAACCCTTTTGCATCCTACAGTTTTATGATCAAACTTAAACAGACTTAAAATTTTCATCAAATTAGAGGTTTTGAGTTAAAAGTCATTTTCATCAATTATATGATAAGTTTCGCATTTTTAATTTCGCTGGACTTGCCCTCTCCTTATCACAATATTAGCTTTTAACTGTGCTGTTGCTTTTTAGGTCTTAATATTTCATCGTATTACGAAAAACAAAAAACGTAAAAAAGTTATAATAGGAGCAATGATCTCTTTAATACTACAACTTTATATAAAATTGTATTTATATAAATTTTCTTATAATTTGACACAGTTTTATATCAATTTCTCCCGATAGAAACATCAGATAGATGTTTTATATGTATCGTTCAACGCCTGAGATTCTCAGGTTCCATCCTATACCCCCTTTCATTTTTCCTTTACAGTCCTGTTAAGGTATAATCTAGGGCAGTCAAATAACCAGTTCAACGTACCTTAATGTTTTTTTCTTTCAGTTTAAAGTGTAAAAAAATGTATGGACATATTGAAAAATATTAGAAATTAATAAAAGAATTACCTCTATCTTATTCTTCATCTGTTACGGTTCTTGACTTTCAAATGTGGTTTGCATATAGTTCTTGACTTTTAAATGTGGTTTGCATATAGTTCTTGACTTTTAAATGTAGAGAGTTGGATATACTCTCATAAAAACATTTATTCTGTTAATATGTCACTTTATTGGGATAAATTCAACTGCTCTGAACCTTAATCTTAAAACCTTTAAGATTTTAAGTTTTCAATTGTTTTGTAAAATATTTCCTCATCAAATGGCACTTTTTAATTTTGCTGCAGTCCCCCATTAAAGATGTGTGATCCCCCCTTTACACCTCAATGTTTTCTACTTAATTAAAAGCCAGGTATCCAAGTTAGACTCGTAATTACTAAAGTGATTCTCAAAGAGATGTTTTTATACAACCAGTCAGAGATATATCATTGATACTCGGGAATACGGCAGATTTTTTGCAAGAAGAAGAAGAAGAAGAAGAAGAAGAAGAAGAAGAAGAAGAAGAAGAAGAAGAAGAAGAGGAAGAAGAAGAAGAAGAAGAAGAAGAAGAAGAAGAGGAAGAAGAAGAAGAAGAAGAAGAAGAAGAAGAAGAAGAAGAAGAAGAAGAAGAAGAAGAAGAAGAAGAAGAAGAAGAAGAAGAAGAAGAAGAAGAAGAAGAAGAAGAAGAAGAAGAAGAAGAAGAAGAAGAAGAAGAAGAAGAAGAAGAAGAAGAAGAAGAAGAAGAAGAAGAAGAAGAAGAAGAAGAAGAAGAAGAAGAAGAAGAAGAAGAAGAAAAAGAAGAAGAAGAAAAAGAAGAAAAAGAAAAAGAAGAAGAGGAAGAAGAAGAAGAAAGGGGGGGGGGAATATGAAAGGGAAAGGGTTAAACACAATTTAATAGGTTGAACATATTAAATTAACCAAGTTTGAAGATTAAACTGTTTGTTGATCAGCAGACTAAAGGAAACCAAGATTATAATGAATTAACCAGCATATTGGGAGCTAACATCATCCTTAGAGATAGATAGATAATTAGTCAGACTAGGTAGCCAAGCTTAAAGGGACAAATTTCAAAAAGAGTTATTACATACCTAGTTTTTAAATTAAAAAAATGGATCTAAATATTTTAATAATTTTAATTCAATTTCGCAAACACTCCCTTTAAGGTTGAAAGGTCCCTTTAGTTCGTTCTATTTTCTTGTTCTGTGTTTAATCTACGAGGATAACAAAAGAAGAACATTAAATGTCCTTTCTACAGAATATTATTCTTATTTGAAGAAAACTGAATATTTTGTGACAATGTTTACACACGGGAAGGAAAATTAAAAAAATGTGTCTTTTTGGCGGCAATTTATTTGTAACATACAGAGTTACAACAGTTACAGATTATAGAAACTATAGGCGATAAATATTGAAACTTATTCAATGTTTTACATTGCTTTCTTTGCTAAATAATCTAAATCATTTTGAGAATGTAAGTTAAACGACCTAATTCAACCTTCAGATCTTTATATTAAAAACGTCTCACACATTGAGGGTATATAACCCAAAACGTATATGCCGACTTGTTGGTTCCGAACCCTTTATCTTTGTGATTATAAATTTTCGTAATTATGTATTGGCGCGCTATTGAGTTTTTGTTTATCACCAACCGTATTTTCTTTCTAACTCAAATTCAAATGTAAAGATTCTTTATTTTCCCCAACTAATTTCGTTGCATTTTGATTAGTTTAGAATTATTTCAATTTGATAAATATGTATGCTCGACACATGTTAATCCTTTAGATCTGTTATAATTAATTCATTAATCAATAAAGATTGTTTTCAAATATAACTGGCAACCATTTCTCGATCCTCTTCTCCTACTTCTCCCGATCCCCCCTCCTCGGCCATCTTTTTTAATGACACGGCGTTCAGAATGAACAAAGGAATTGAGTCTTTGCCACAAACTCAAATTTTCTAATCCCTGTGTCTTTCAAAACCTGCAATAAATTGCAACTTGCAGACCTTGGATATTTCAAAACTCTAAAAGCTTTTACATAAAATAATAGTTTGACAATTTGAAATCGTGACAAATACTCAATTCTTTCTTCTTCGTACAATGTACAAGTATACAATGTCGTGTCAAATAGTGATACAAAATTTTATAATATATATTTTCTTTATTTTGCTCTTATAAATTGTTCACCTGTACATATTCGTCTTCATTACGTAGATGTTCTGCTATGAACTCGACAGCCTGTGTCGCCTTGTACGCTTCGGGAGACAGGAATATGTCGCTGATGTCGCTGTTTCGACGGTCAGCGAGCGGGGAGTGCTCCTCAAAGGATTGGCTGGCGTGCAGCTTGCAGGCCGGGGTATGGAGGTCGTTTAGCTCCATTACCTGGATAAATTATAATAAATATAAAAAATTATCAAATCTTTTGATAAGACTATCCGAGGATTTGATTAGGTCAGGAGTATCATATTTTTTCATGTTCTCAACCCGCACCCGCTCTAGTTTGTCTGCTGCACGCAGGACTCTATCCTCCTCACCAGAATTATTCTCAGACTGGCTGTCACAGGCTGAATAATAAATAAATTGAGATGTTTTTTTAAGAATAATTTTATTAATTTATAATTTTACGATGGTTGTCGAGAAAGTTAGGGGTTATAAATAGATAAGAATTCACAGTAAAACATATACAGAGAGAGATATGCAGAGTGAGTCAATTTTCATTTCATTCAATTTTGCATTTTTTGTTTATTTATTGTATCTTGGAAACACAGTTTTTCCTGGAAACAGAATTTTCGTGTAAATTCCAACCTTATACTCAACTTGGAATCATTAGACCAAGCTAAGAATATTCCCGAGGTTCAGCCGGGTTCCAAAAAGTCCAAATTTGAGGAAAATCAGTCCGGGGGTTCATGAGATATCATTGGACTGACAAACAAAAACAAACAAAAAACAAAAACCCAAACAGTGATTACTACTTTGAATATATATATATGATAAACAAATATATATTATCCATAATAAACAAATATGCATAAATATAACAAAATTGAGCAAAAATAAAAAAAAGTCACAGACAACTTCAAATAGTGTTAACTCTCATTTTCTTTTACAAATATNAATTTTAAAAAATTTAATGACGATCGAATTTTGATAGAGACAAATATTTGAAATTTTGATGATTCATAAACCTTCCCTGGGCTCCCTAGATGTCCCACAAAAAATTTGGGCCCGATCGGTTCAGCCGTTTTGACGTTTATTGGATACAAACAAACAAACAGACAAGCCAAATTTATATATAGATTATGCATATAAGAATTAGCTCTTCGCTTATTTATATATATGTCAGTTATAGCCGGCCAAACGGCTAAGCCGAATTGGCTGAATTTTTTTGGGAACCCTTGAGTGCCCCGCGGGGGTAACAAGGCTAAGAAAATTCGAAACAATTTTTTTTTTCAAAAATCGATTTTTTTCATTAAAAATTAAAAATTTTTAAAATTTCACGGGAAACGCCGGGAATTTAAGGTAGTATGTATTTAAAACTGATAATTATCAATCATGGTTTCTTTACAAAAGTGAATTGCACTTTTTTCTGCAGAAAAAAAAACATTTATAGATTATCAGAATTAAACACTTGTAAACACTAGAAAACCGAAAAATCTTTATCATTATTGATCATGATCAAATAAAGGTGAATCGGGCACTTTGACACTTTGGACGGAGGCTCACTTGAAATTACACTTACAGACCAATTAAAACTTTGATAAACAAGTGTTTTTGAAGGTCTGTTAACACAACTTTGATGCACCCTCTTTATTTAGAAGTATTATTTATGATGCACACAACAGTGTCCAGTAAATATCTTAGCAGTTTTTTTTCCCAAGGTTTGAAGGAATACTTCTGTTAAATTGTTGATAAAAGCGTAAAACCAAAATAATAATTTTTTTAAAAATTAATGCTAATATTTATTATCTTTGGTATATATGGCATAATTTTCCTTTTTCAAATATTCATGATTTAAGTTTAGACTTGTAAAAAGCATTTGATGAAATGAATTTGTATAAAACTAATTTACATAAAAAAATATTTTTACTTTACCTGCATTTCCATCATCCAACGTAGACGTGTTTTTTTAGGCCGACGCATGAACAGGAAAATCGGCAAATACTGAACAGGAATATACAATCATGAACAGAAATATACTATAACGAACAGGAATATACTATTATGAACAGGAATATACTATTATGAGCAGGAATATACTATTATAAACAGGAATATACTATCATGAACAGGAATATACTATCATGAAAAGGAATATACTATTATGAGCAGGAGTATACTATTATAAACAGGAATATACTATCAAGAACAGAAATATATACTATCATGAAAAGGAATATACTATTATGAACAGAAATAAACTATAATGAACAGGAATAAACAATCATGAACAGGAATATACTATAACAAACAGGAATATACTATTATGAACAGGAATTTACTGTTATGAACAGGAATATACTATCATGAACAGGAATATACTATCATGAACAGGAATATACTATCATGAACAGGAATATACTATCATGAACAGGAATAAACTATAATGAACAGGAATAAACTATAATGAACAGGAATAAACTATAATGAACAGGAATATACTATAATGAATTGGAATATACTATAATGAACAAAAAACTGAAGAAAAACTGAAAAATATGTGAACAATTATTATGAGAAAATGGAATTCAATATTCTAAATTACAGAAATATAAAAAAATAATTTTTGATCTTCCTGAAAACTATTTAAAAACATCCTTTCTTTCAAATTCAATAAAAATTCTTTTTTAAAATTTTAAAACTGCTTCAAAGAATTTAGAATTAAATTATTGAAATTGTTTCCTTTGTTAGCTTTGTTGACTATATGGAGGAATATGATTGGATGAATTATAGGGATGGATAAATCGGATTGGATGAATAGGGTTGGATGAATAGGGTTGTATGAATAGGGTTGAATGAATAGGGTAGGATGAATCCTGGGCTGGATGAATATATGATATGGAACAGTGGACACATAGGAAATAAATTAAAACTTATATCATTTATAATCTTATATATAATTTAGAAATGGGAAAAAATGGGAAGGATAAAAAAGGGTTAATGAATATGGTAGAATGAATAGTATTGGATGAATAGTATTGGATTAATAGGTTTGGACGAATAGGGTTGGATGAATAGTGTTGGATGAATAGTATTGGACGAATAGGGTTGGATGAAAAGGTTAGAAAAATAGTATTAGATCAAAAGGGAAGGATGAATAGGGTTGGATGAACAGGTTTGGATGAATATGGTTGGATTTATATGGTTGGATGAATAGGTTTGGATGAATATATGATACGGAACAGTGGGCACATAGGAAATAAATTAAAACTTATATTATATATATATATTATAATTTATATTTTATATCAATTGGAGAAAACATTTTCTAAAGATGGAGCAAACGTTAGGATTAAAGGGTTGGGTTTCATGGTGTATTGCATTTTCCCAAGGGCAACTTCCCAAGTGACAATTTCCCAAGTGGAAACTTCCCCGAAGTTTAAGTTACGCCCTCTGAGGCGCCGCAGGCTGCAATGGGACTGAGCGCTGTGGCTAGGATGAGGGGGTCATACCTTGATAAAAACGACCCGTATCCAGTTTGGCATAGAATGAGTTCTCGGTCCTCTGAAGTTCCAGTTTATAATAACAACAGTAACCAGAATACTCACAGTATTCATAATAAATGTGAACAGTAAATACTAAACAATTGGACAATTACAAACCTGTAATCAAAGCTTTACTCCTCCCGTGTGGAATCCAATAGTTGCAATGCAAGCTCTCAAGCATTTTTGCCAACTACTTCTTAAAAACTAAAACAAGTGTATTATATGTTCTATAATGAACAATGTCTAGGGCTACAAAAAAGGAGAAATATAGTTAGTTAGTAAAAATCAATGGTAAATGCGTTGCGACACTTTAAAAAGGGAGTGTTCGCGAAAAATGAAAGGGGATATTGGCATACGACGAAAAATAAGCGCTTTTGATCGCTACTAATTTTACTTCTATCTGTTGCGTCTATAAGGAGAAAATTGTTAAAAACGACTCATGCTGAAGAACGTGGCGTCCATACAAATTGAGAAAGTTGCAACATAATAGGTTCGGAAATCTTAAATTGTTGCAAGAATTGGATTCCCATATTAAAAATGAAGAATTGAATGAAAATATAGAATTAGAAGAATTGGAATATTCTGAGCTCAAAATTATTATTTTTTTATTAGTTTCCTTCATCTTGTTCAGCCCTCACTAATCTAATTGATTATATACATAAACAGGAATATTTAGAACTAGAATTATACAAACTCTATATGTATACATTTATATATATTGATATTACATTTATATGTAAATAGAAATAGATTCGTTGCCGAGCCAACTTCCAGATTTATAAATGCAAAAGAGAATTTGGAAGAATGTAAAAACAGGATTTAGTTTATCTTTCTGCTTCTAGTCGAAACAAAAACTTTAGGTTAGAGATTAATTCTTCTGCCATTATTCTTTCTGTTTCTTTCATTACTCCTTCTGTTTCTATTATTACTCTTTATGTTTCTTTCATTACTTCCTTCTGTTTCTATTATTACTCTTTCTATTTCTTTCATTACTCTGTCTGTTTTTCCATCATTATTTCTGTTTCTTTAATTATTATTTCTGTTTTTTCATTATTCTTTCTGTTTCTTTAATTATTTTTTCTGTTTCAATCATTACTTCCTTCTTTTTCTTTCATTATTCTATCTGTTTCTATCTTACATCTTTGTGTTTATATTTTTATTACTTTCTGTTTCTATCATTACTCTTTCTGTTTCTTTCATTACTTCCTTATGTTTCTAGTATTACTCTGTGTGTTTTTACATTTTTCTTGCTGTTTATTTTATTACAATTTCTGTTTATATAATTACTCTTTCGGTTTCTTTCATTATTTTTTCTTTTCTATTATTCCTTTTTCTGTTTTTATCATTACAACTTTCTGTTTCTATCATTACTCTTTCTGTTTTTTCATTTCTTCTTTCTGTTTATTTCTTTATTATTTCTGTTTCTTTTGTTACTTTTTCAGTTTCTTTCATCATTTTTCCTGTAACTTTCATTAATTCTTTCTGTTTCTATCTAACTTTTTGGGGTTTCTATTATTACTACTTTCTGTTTCTATCATCACTCTTATCTGTTTCTTTCATTATTCTTTTTGTGTCTATCATTACTCTTTCTACTTATGTTTCTTACATATGTTTCTTACATTACTAATTTCTGTTTCTTTCATTACTACTTTCTGTTTCTTACATTATTCTTTCTGTTTCTTTCATTATTATTTCTGTTTATTTTATTATTTTTTTGTTTCTATCTTTACATTTCTGTTTCTTCCATTTTTCTTTCTGTTTATTTCATTATTTCTTTCTGTTTTTATCATTACCCGTTCTGTTTATTTTTTTACTACCTTCTGTTTCCATCATTACTTCTTTGTGTTTCTATTAATTGTACTTATTGTTTCTTTCATTACCCTTTCTGTTTCTTTCGTTACTTTGTCTGTTTCTACCCCTAGACTCTGTATCAACCCCATATTCCTCTGTTTCTACCCTTAGTTCTCTGTTTCTACCCCCTAGTTCTCTGTTTTACCCCCTATTTCTCTGTTTCTATACCTTATCCTTAGTTTTTACCCCTTATCTTCTGTTTCTCCCTCTGGTTCTCTGTTTCTATCGCTATTTCTCCTCATAGTTTATGACCCCTCATGTTTCCTTTTTCCAAGAACGAGGGATGTAGGTGGTAGAATCTTAGAGACAAGTAGTAGAAACACGACCAGTGACAGTAGAATAGATATACCCAGGGTAACCTTCTCCCCAGCTTCAGCTGGCAGGTAGAACACGAGAACACACAGGAAACTAATAAGCACCGTGGGAAGAATTAAATTCACTGTGTAGAAAAGAGTTTTTCGTCTAATAGTTATATAGAAGGTGATATCCGTCTCAGTAGGCTGCTGTCCGACTTCTGAAACAAAATATAAAGGTTAAAATGATGTTAGGAACATTTGGTCTTAAACATGCATGAACATTTTATCCGTATAGTGATGAACATACAGCTGTAGATTGATGGATTATCTCGTATACTCGTATATACAGCTGAATGGTTAGTAACTCTCACTACCGGGCGGACCGCGCCAACAATGTATCCTATATAGTTGATCCATAACTATAATGTTAACTGAGCAGACAGGTAGAGAACTACCATCCCCCCTGATAACAATGTATGTAGCAATAAGTAAAACAATGCAGCCATAAACAACAGTGTAGCCATAAATAAAAATGTAGCTATAAATAACAATGGCTGTAAGGGTTTCATTAACCATGACTTTAACAAAATGAATTTTAAATAATGTCTTATGATTTAACTGCAGTGGTTCACCACTGAAAACTTGTTCGTTCCTGGTTAAATTAAATGTTTGAAACTCTGAAACAAAGTATTAAGTTTGAATAATTATTTTAAACTTTGTGTCTTGATTATTAAACAAAGGAGCATTCTCTTCATAGTTCCAACTCTATATATTCAAAATATTAAAACCTTCTATGGACAAGGACCTGTTGGCGTGATTTAACTGACCCTCTATCCAAAGATAGACATCCAGATTCACAATGGTACCCTTAAAGGGAGTGTTCGCGAAAAATGAAAGGGGGTATAGGCTTAATGCGATAAAAAAGCGCTTTTGATCGCTACTAATCTTACTTCTATCTGTTGCGTCTATAAGGAGAAAATTGTGAAAGACGTCTCATACCGAAGAACGTAGTATCCATACAAATTGAGAAAATTGCAACATAAAACTTAGACAGTAAAAAATCAATTTAATTTCAAACAAATCATTCAGATATTACCACATATAGTCATCGATTATCTTTCGCCACATTTGTATATATTTGATATTTCATAATATGTTTTAATTGTTATGATCTGAGAGTTACTTATAAAAACATTTATTCCTGTTTCGAGGATTTTTGGTAATGAAGACGACATTTTCATATTTTCCAGGAATGTTCCAAAACAAGTTGTAAGCTAAATATTATTTTAAAAAACAAAATCAAAACTAGTATGAAATATCAAATATATACAAATGTGGCGAAAGATAATCGATGACTATAGGTTGTAATATCGGAATGATTTATTTGAAATTAAATTGATTTTTTACTGTCTAAGTTTTATGTTGCAATTTTCTCAATTTGTATGGATACTACGTTCTTCGGTATGAGACGTCTTTCACAATTTTCTCCTTATAGACGCAACAGATAGAAGTAAGATTAGTAGCGATCAAAAGCGCTTTTTTATCGCATTAAGCCTATACCCCTTTTCATTTTTCGCGAACACTCCCTTTAAAACATGTTTCTGGTCTTTGATTTGGTTAAAATATCGTAAATTTTCTAGCTAGGAAAATGTTTAATTCTGATAATTCCTACATTTTTTCCCAAGGCTGAATTGCACATGTCACAATTGTAGAGAAACCACAATTGATAAAAATCAGTTTTCAAAATAAAAAAAAATTCAATTCATACTTTATTGCAGAAATACCGCAGATTGAGAAAGTTACACGTTTTTTAAAATGTTCACGCATTCAAAAATTTTCGAATCCCTATATCATGGCAACCCAAAGTTGTAGACCTTGGATATTTCAAATGATATTTTCTGTCAGATCAATTAGTCTTAGTTTGAAATCTCAGAGGTTTACAACATCAGGTTGAAGAGATATATACTATAAAGGGATACGATTGTTCAGTTTCTATTTCTAATGAATCAAGTAGATTTTTGTTATCCGTACGAGGTTACGGCTCCTCTCCTTCAGCATTACTTTTAGAGATTAATTCTTCAAAAGAAAAATAGAACTCTCTTCCCCTCCTTTCCCCTAACCTTTCTCCAAGCGCCCCCCCCCCCTCCAGTTCCACCTTACCTCCCCACCTTCTCCACCTCCCACCTATCCTTAATACCCAAACCCCTCAATCTCTCTCTCTGTTCCCGACTAACCTCCCCCCTCCCTTATCACCTAACCCCCCCCATTTTCCTCCACCTAACCTTCCCCCCTTTCCTAACCTTTATCCTTCCCCTCTTCTAACTTTTACCCCCCCCCTAATAGCTTCATATCTCTTCATAGTTTTGTTCCAAACTTCTTTATCCCTTTTAACCCTTTCTAAATCTTTTACAGGTTGGTCCAATAACTAGAGCTGGGCAAAGTTCCGATAACGCAACGAAGATTTTGTAGGAAAAAAAATGGCCATGAGTCTCATTTCGCTGCTTGCGAGAAGGTTAGATGGAAGGTATAGAGGAGAGTGGAGATGAGAATAAGGGTATGTAGGAGAGGGGTAAAAGGAATGTTTTTTTTAATCACTCCATTTGTCCACATGTTTTACTGTTTCCCAGTCCAGCGAAAGTCCTTATGAAGTATTACATTTAGTATGCACCTCTGCATCCAGTGTTGTCCTCTTTTATCAGCTCTGCTCATGGATCAGGGACATGTAGTGCTGGGCACGTTCCAACTTTTTCTAGCCTTTTCGTTTACGGTTAGTTCCAACCGTTAAAAAAAGAAAAATTTCAGTTAGGCGGTTATGAAAAAAGTAAGAACGGCATTTCCCGTTTTTCTTTAAATTAGGGTTAGTTAATGATCTCAATTTTATTAACGGCATTAACGGAAAATTTTCAACAATAGCATAACGGCTTTAGCTGTTAATGGTACTGTTATTTCACAGTCGTTAATGGCATATTACAGTATTAACGACGTAAACGGCGAAATTTTTTTATCGCTTTATAAACACAGAAGACGACATTTAAAAACATCAAAACGCGTTAAATTTTTAAATTAAAAAAAAATATTTTATGCAATTTTAATCAGAAAATAACAAAATTTACCGTTATTAGCTTTTAAGTTAACATTTTTAACTGTTATTTTTCAAAAACTGCTAATCCGTTTTGTTAACGATTTAATAATTAACGGTTTTTGCAGTTCGGTAGCAGATTCTTCCGTTAATTTTCGAAAACCTCCATTTTGTTAAGAGAACTTTGCCCAGCCTTAGGGACAGGGCCCTTTCAGAAAGGGCTCCAATCGCTAAGTGGAGTGGATATAAAACCGGATAAGATATAGACATATTTTGTCTTTGTTATTCCTATTTCTTGACTTAGTAACCCAGCTGTGGGTACTGTAGTTAAGAAGGAGGCTAGCTAATTGAACATGGGGTTCAGGGCCGCTTGAACTTCTCTCCCTCCATATGTGCAGACACCTTTCTCAGCGTGCACTGCAAATAGCGTAGAGAGCTTTCTAGAAGAGCTCTGCTATCCTAGGCTGTAGGAATGCAAGTGATAAGAGTTCTAATAGATAATTGAAATTTCAACAACGCATCTATCAGACATAAATCAAATGAGCGTTATAGATACATTTTAAATCAAATACTAATTTGAACATTCTATGTAATATCTATCATCAAATATCGAATAAAAGTTTTACTTGAATATCTTAAGAAATACGTAATCAAATATTTAAACAAATTTCTTATCGTATGTAATCAAATAGCGATCAAAAATCAATTACAATATCAAATCAATTATATAAGTAAATATTTTTTTTAAAATAAGAATTAGAAAATAAATTTGAAAAAGATGTAAATATTAGAAAATGTTATTATTAATGATAAACTGTTTCGGTAGAAAACTTCTTCGCCGATTTTTTGTTGCTCTGTGAAGAAACTTGGATAATTTGTAAAAATGTTGAGAAACGTTCTGGCCTAGATTTTCAGATTTCTCTATATATATACTTCTTATAGAACATAACCTCAATACTACGGAGCGTGACAGGGGAAGTAATCTTGGTTTCTTAAAGGGAGTGTACGCGTAATTTCAAGTCACTCTTCGCGCAAAGATGACAATTTCCGATTAAAAACCTTAAACTTTCTCTGATCAAGTATGAATTAGATGATTTTCGATCTTTACTCAAACTGTTTATTTTCTTACGCGGACTCGACTGCAAAATTGACTTGCGCATTTCGTGCTTACAAATTATATTTGAGGATACCGTTGTAAATCGGGCATTGTTATCTTAGCATGGAGGGTCTGGATGCAAAACTTCAGTCTCTGTTACTGGGTACATAATGAATCATTGAAATATATAAATTCTTCTGAGTTTTGACTGTTTGAAGGAATTAAGACATGTCGGGGACTGTATTAAGCAAGATATGAAAGGATTAGGGTTGGAAGAAACCAATTCGTTTATGATCATCTTTAATCGTCTCCTTGCCATCCTTAATCATGTCAACTGGAGCTCAAGGGACACTTGGAATTGATGGAACGGCCAGGAAAAGTGTCCAAGGAAAATCCAGGATTATATCTCCGGGTTCTGCTAGAGCTATGGGGCTCCAGGTATCGATTAGAGCTGAGAGAATAAGCCCACTAAACCATGTAAATCCGACATGTTCTGTGTACAGTGGAATATGAGGGAAGAATGGGACTTAGTTATTCTCTAAAATATCTTGTATCTACATTAGACACTTGATCAGTTACATAAAAACTTGTTATAGACTTTTATGTTCAACATTTATCCGGAAACTAAAGATGCATAATTAAACTTACGTGTGTTATTATGAACGTTGAGGTAAGCTGGAACTTCAATGATGTCCCAGGTTCCAGATTTCCAATAGTCTGACAAATCCACGTGGTTCTTGTTGTTAAAGAGGGAGAGGGAGACCTGGTCCCCAGTGAAGGTCCAGGACCCGAACTTCATGATGCAGGTCTGCTGGTCAAACGGGAAGTATGTTACGTCGATGGTGCAGGAAGACTAAAAATAAAAATTGTTTGAAAAATACTAAATTTGACACATTTTCTTTTATAAAAATGACAGTATAACTTGAAAATAAAGTTTTATTCATTATATCGACCAATATCATCCATCTAATAAACATGGTTATAATTATCTTCCTACTGTAACATTACTCTAACTTCAGCAAACTATAGAGTACATGTGCAAACAATAATTACAGCTGATATCAACAGCTGATATTAACAGCTGATCGAATAAAAATGTCGGATTGAATATATCAATCGCTGATTGAATAAAGATGGCGGAGTAATTCTTAAAAATCATATCATGAAAGCTGAGATGATTTCAAATCAACTCTATCAATTGAAAATGAGGAAACTGTAAAAATGACTAAATAATTGATTTAAAATTTAGATATAGGAATAAATCAGCTGATATTTATATTAAAATTTAATTTAAGACATATTATACTACAGATAAATTTCGGTGATGGTGATGGACCAAACCTCTGTAGCGTAAAAAAAGTAGATGTTAGTTCCACATTTATTGAAAATATTTTTCGGTCTGGGTTGACCTTCGTCAGTTCTTGAGATTGTTTCTGTTCGGAAGATTAAAAAGAGATAGACAGATAGACTGAATAAAACAATATATCTTATATATTGTTTTAAACCACTAAATTAAAGACAAGCTTTACATTTTTTAATCAGAAAACCGTAATTTTTTATTTAGTTTTGACAAGTTTATGTTAAGTTTTTTTATCCTCTCTTGAACAAATTTGGGCGAGTATAAATCTTAAGCGAGGGAGGTAAAAAGTGTGAATATGATAAAACTTTTTGTTCTTCTCTCCCCTAGCTATTTGCATAGCAGGGTTGTAAATATAAAGGTTTTTGATGAAACTGTCTTCAAACTAGAACAGTTAAAATTTATTCTATAAAACATTCAGATTTAGGAGAAATAAATCATATTAAGTCAGATTCTTTCCTCTTCTTTTTTAAACACATTTTAAATAAAGAAAATCTGTTCTAAAATCTTTTTTGTAAAACTCGTCTTATACATAAAGGGACTGTAAGTGTTATTTCAAGTAACCAAAGATGACAATGTTTGATTTACAACTTTTTTATTTTTCTATTTTGATCGCCCGCATGAGACACATTTCAATAACATATATAGTTTTATTCAGTTTTACTCAAAGTATTTAAAAGCAGATCGATAAAGTTACTTAATCACCCTGTAGTAGGGTGATTAAGTAACTTTATCACCCTACAATGAGAAAAATTAGGTATGAAATTTGAAATTTTAATAGCAGGGTGAAAAAGTTACTTTTTCGCCCTGTTGTACGGCAATAAACAACGGGAAATATTTGGTGTGATAAATTCCATCTAAAATTGAATAAAATCCTTGATAAAATCAAACATGTGGAACATAACTTCGTTGTTTTCATTCGGAAAGTGTTTACATCTGATAATTTCTTCATTGTTAGTTTTAAGCAAAAAATGCGCAATCCACTATTGCAATAAAACGATATTTGAAAATTGACAGTTTAAAAAAATGTACGTCTCATTCTTAATTAGAAAGCTTTCAAGGGGTTCAAGGGGTTCAAGGGGTTCAAGGGGTTCAAGGGGTTCGAGGGGTTCAAGGGTTTCAAGGGGTTCAAGGGGTTCAAGGGGTTCAANTAAGTTGACCCATAAAGTACCACCTTTTTGGTTAATAAAATTGTGTGAGTAATATATTTAATATTCAACAAGGATATTTGCAATAAATTTGTCTAAGAATATTTTTTTTAATAAAATAAATATTTACTAGAATATTGTATTTTTATATCAAATTTAGATAGATTTTGTAAAGAAGTTTACAGGAAACAAATTTAAAGCTTTTCTCCTGAAAAGTTTGTTAAGAAAAACTTGTTCTTTGCATCCTCATTGAAAAAAAAGCTTTGATACTTCGAACTTTGACTATTTAATCTAGTTAATTTATTACTTTTGAACATCAAAGGTATAAGACATACAGTTGCCACAATATAGAGATTAGAAATTTAGAGTTTGGGTCAGGTGTACCGCAAAATTCATATTTAAAGTTCAGATTAACTCCATTTTGAACATCAAGGGTATAAGAATACAGTTGCCACAATGTAGGGATTAGAAATTTAGAGTTTGGGTCAGGTATACCACCGCAAAATTCATATTTTAAGTTCAGATTAACTCCCTTGGCAGAAACTTTTGAAGAAAGGAGTTTGATTTGTAATACTTGTAAATATTGAAATGTCTAAACAAATACAAATTAACTTATCTCTCATTGGCCAACCTTTTAAGTTCTTGCCAATTAGAAATATTTTATTTTCCTTTGCAAGGGGGATGAATTATACAATTCATGGTATTTAGGTATGTTTACATTATCTGAATGGAATTAAATTGGTTTTGTGATTTAAAAAAAAAAATTCCCAGCTCTTTTTTCCATTTCTTAAAAATATAAAATATTACTTTTTCAATTTTCTGTGAGATTGAAACCAATGTTTCTTATCCTGTCCTTTCTCCTACATTTAGAACAAAATTTTACATTTTTAAGAAATCAATTCTAGATCCCGGAGTAGCCTTTTTTATCATTTTTTCATTTAAAAAATATCCCCCTTGCCCCCCCCCACTTCCCTCCTTCTTTATTCTCAAGAAAAATCTTTTTTTTTGCGAGGATAATATATTCTATGCTAAGGAAGAAGATTCCCCCCATGTTTTATAAATTTTCTAATGAAAAGTTGTGAGTGGAATAATTTAAATTTAAAAGTCAAGTTTTACAAAAACATTTCAATTTATTATCTTCAAAATTTTACACATAAAATAATAACCTTTAAAGGACCAACAGGGGGGCCAAATTAACCCTGGTATTTGTTTTTACCTGCTAACAAAAAGTACCAGATGAGACTTTGTTTAGTAATATAAAGGTTTAAAGACTACAGGGTACACAATAAAAAAAACGAACTGGAATACAAAAAATTACAAGAATTATCAAAAAGAAAAGAATAAGAAAAACATTTAGAACTTCGAACCTGAAATAATTAAATATCTACAGTCTACAGCTATCTACTCACATGCTTTCTTTCAAATATTCCATAAGCTCTTTGCTTGATCTTTTATAGGTTCGCTAAAATCATGTTTACAGGGTGTTTACAGGGTGTTTAGAGGGTGTTTACAGGGTGTTTACAGGGTGTTTACAGGGTGTTTACAGGGTGTTTACAGGGTGTTTACAGGGTGTTTACAGGGTGTTTACAGGGTGTTTACAAGTTGTTTACAGGGTGTTTAGATAGGGTGTTTACAGGGTGTTTACAGGGTGTTTACAGGGTGTTTACAGGGTGTTTACAGGGTGTTTACAGGGTGTTTACAGGGTGTTTACAGGGTGTGTATAGGGTGTTTACAGGGTGTTTACAGGGTGTTTACAGGGTGTTTACAAGTTGTTTACAGGGTGTTTAGATGGTGTTTAGAGGGTGTTTAGAGGGTGTTCATAGGGTGTTTACAGAGTGTTTAGAGGGTGTTTACAGTGCATTTTGTTCTAATTCTTAGTGTCAACCGTTTAACGTATACATAACACACACAGTAGTAGTAGCTGCAGTTGCAGATAGATATATAAACAAACAGACAGATACTTGATAAATAGATAGCCAGACAGATAGATAGACACCCTGACAGACAGATAGATACTAGACAGATATATAGACAGATAGAAAGATAGACACATTGAAAGATAGACATATTGACAGATAGCAGATAGACAGATAGACAGATAGAAAGATAGATAGATAGAAATAAAGACAGATAGAAAGATAAACAAATAAAGAGATCGACAGATAGACAGTTAGACAGTTAGACAGATGATTGTATGACATAAAAAAGTGTATACATCATCATATGTAAATATATTGGATATATTTGCATTTGCATATAGTTAATAAATTGAGTCCTGAACTTTTCCCCATGTTGAATGTTCATTTACAATATCACACATGCAAAGTGTCTGAAAATATCTTATGAAACATTGTGGGATCAATTTGACGCAGAGTATGGTCCTTCAGAAATTCGAATCCAATATTTACTCTATTATTAAAAAGTTATATCAATTTTTTTTCTTCACAGATCTAAAATTTAAACAAGCATTTATAATTTAGAGAAAGAAAATCCTAAAACACATGTTGGTGGGTCAAATTAGCCTCCTCTTGGTCCTTAAGAGTGCGATAAAAATAGGTTGGTCCCATGAGGGTTAACTGGAAAAATATCAATACATTATTGGGTTATGTTTTTACTTAGGAAATCTCCAATATTTGGTCTTTCAAAGTAATTGTAGAGGAACACATTACCTTTTGGTCGATATAAATATGCAATATATAAATCAAAATTTTTTTTTACCCCTCGACCCCCTCCCCCTACCTATAAACTGAGCTTGTGCGCAAAACTAGTGCATACGAACGGTTCTACAGATCTGTTTATACCTCCTTTTTAAGATAAACCGACCCCTCTGTCCTATGTAAAATCCAAATACAAGGAAAACCTGTGGAAAATGTGAGGCAGCAAGACACTATTAATCTTTACTGTATGAAATCTATAGTATGGTATGCCTAGCTATAATAAGTATTGACAAGAGAAGGATTAAACGTAATAAGTAAATGTATTGATGTAGGAGTACCCTCTAGCTTGATGGAAAAGTAATTCTGTATTCTATTTATGTATATTATTTAATAAAAAGGGAATATAGATCGCTTATGTCGTCTTCACCATACCAGAGGGTTACAGTTGAAATTGAAAATGGCAATTTAGCTATGGTACTAGCTACTGACACACAGTACATTGGATATAAAGGTTTGCGGCAAGTATCTTTTTATTTATGGGGGTTTGATGAAAAATATTGCAACCACACTAGTTAAATTTCAAAGAATTAGAACGAATTGCTGCTTGCTAGCGATATGTGAGTGATAATGATGACACCCCGACTCCCCTTACACACAATTAAGAACACATTAAAGTTGGAAGACCTTTCAA